TCTTCCCATTATCTATTTTATTTTGTTCTTTATGCACATTTTAAGTAACTGATTCATGTTTCACTTTAAATTATGCAAGCGTCTACCAAAACAACAGATAGTTTGAATGATCAGTAGCACATTCTGTAATTTTTTATTATAAATTCCTTAGAACATACCCTTAGAAGTGATTACTTCTGGAAACTTCATGATACAATAAAAGCTGGCTTTCCACAAGGTAAATGTATTCCAAATCCATCCTTAACTTGGAAAATTTCCCATTAGTCACCAATTTAAGATAAACTGTCCTACAGGTGATAGTCACTTAATTTGATGCCTGTTTTTGTGCCTGTGGTCATGCCAGTGCATGCTTTGTGCCCACTGTCCACACCTCAGGTGAACTGTCTGCCACTGTCTGTGAATGTCCTAAGGGAGCACCCCTGCCCTGCCTACCTCATGGTCCTATGCAGTAGTAAATTAAGCAAGGTAACTTGTAAAAATGTGACAAGGGAAATGACAAAGGCCTCCTAAACGTATGTTTTACAACATGGAGAACCCTAACAGAATCTATTTCCATCAGCAAGGTAGACCTGGAGACAGCTGACTGTGGTGGCCGCCCTGGTTGGAGGCATTAGTATTTCTTTTCCTAATACATTTACGGCCTTTAAGTAATAGATTTTTTTTCTTGCCCAACTACTTCTGATTAGGACTAAATTATAATTCTTCAGGAGAATTTTCAAACTCATTCTTCATTTACAATGGAGGGCAATTTCTCAGCCTTGCTTCCGGTTCCAAAGGAAATTGAGATTAATATCCTGAGAATTAAGCTTTTGCTCTACTTTTTCAATTTCATCTATTTTTAAGTAGCTTTTCAGAGTAGAGGGAATTATCATCGTCAGATAATCTCACCAATTTTGGTATTTTAAAACAATTACACTTTGAATTCAAAAAATCTGCTGGAAATGGGAAATTTCAAAGCTCTTTAAAAATAATAAACCACAATCAAGGAGCAAAGAAATATTAGAAAAACTACATAGCACATATTCTAAATTACATATTCTGTGGTGAGTTATAAAGGCAAGAAGGACATGGGGAAATATATATACTATACTTCTGCCATATTAACATAATATTTAAAAAAATAATGTTTAAAAAATCTCCATCCAGGTTTAATCAGATAGCACTGTGCACAAGTTGTGAGCATGTTTCATAGCTGCAGGCCCATGACGTGCAAGCAACTGGGCAGCCCAAATGCCCAGACCGTCATGATAAGTCATGCCTCTCAACTTCAATGGCATTGTCTACTGCGTATATTACAGAGTATAGATGTTTTTCTATGTTTGGTCAAGTCATTTGCCATGACTAATACCGTAGTCATGGAAAATAAAAATAATATGTATCACTACCAATGAGGATATATAAGTTAAAGGTGGTCGGAGGATCTTATCACCAACAATATACCGTGAAGACGCATTTGTGTAGGTGGTCCTAAGGACAAGTAGTGGACAAAATAGAAAGTCCCTTCTCAGCAGGGTTAAGGTTTCAGTAATATGAAGTTACAGCTAGTGTGTTCTCCTCAGAAATATTAACCAATGAAGATACCAATTTAAAAAGCAGAGGTTATTTTTTAAAAGCGGCATAAAAAGGCTCAAATAGTAGTGGGATGAGGCAATCTGTTCATTAAATTTCACAATTTGATAAAGTATCATAACTGAAAGATATTTGAAATATGTCTTAGAGAAAAATTTCGATAATTTTGTCCTTATGTGCCCTCAGGAGAAAGGGGCCAATCAAAGCTTTGGAAATCATAATGCTTTTGTTAAATGTCAGAAATAACATTCACCATGTTACTTACCTTGTTGTATTAATTTCCAGTCACATTTAAAATAATGGAAGCATCCACTATAGTTAAAGCCTGTCAGCTTGTGCTACAGTCAGTTCCCAGCCGTATAAAGAGCGGGAGAGAACGGGAGAGAGCCTGGCAAGTGGTTCAAAAGCCTCTCCCTGTGTTCCTAGTCCTCCAAGAGGTGCTCATGGATGTCTGAGATGTGATGGCAGCATACTTGCAATGGATCCACAGGCTCCCCTTGTCTATGTTAATGTGTGACTGGCCACTCTGGTAGGGGGGAGTACCAAAAACAAGAGAATGCTTCAGGTCTGTTGACTTTCTTTCACCCGCTTTGTCTTCTCTCTGCCTGTTTGTGCCATTTTACTTTAATAATTATCCTGGGTTTTTATCTTCACACACTCTTAACATAGTCACTCATAGTAGGAGAGGTTTACATGAAGTTACTTTATTTTCACCTCTGCAGTGCCCTTTCAGACTCTTTCTATGCTGTATTTTAATTTAATTGAGAATGTGTGGAAGGAAGGTAAAGCTTGAAACCCTGGGTGTCAGAAAGACTGGGAGAATTATTGTGATCTGTCTAAATTGCATTTGCTCTGCTCCTTTTGTAAATGCCCTCATAAATACTGAAGACATTCTTGGTTTCAATGCTGTGCGAAAATAAAATGTCACAGAAATTAGTTCTGTAAAATGAACAGGAATGGAATGTGTCATCTAGAGGGATTGGATATATTCAGCAAGTGTTCCGTGGTGGTCCTGGTGTCCTGTGTCAAGGTCAGCCACCTTGCCAGAGGTATCATACTGTTGCAGGGATAACCAGCCAGTCCCTTGCTCTTATTACTTGAGGGAGATTGAATGCCTTCATGTTTCAAATGAAAATCTGTTATTTTGCCAACTGTCTGGTCTCCCAAAAACTTTCTTTACAGTTAGGTACTTGTTTATTCAATGATTTTTCTATGCTGTTATGAGGACATACATATATGTATTTGTGTGCATATATATGTGAAGTATCAGACAAAAGTAGAATCATGTTGTCATTTTGTTTTGCAATGCGTACATGTATGTGTGGTTGTTTTATGTTATAATAAATTGTGGTTCTTTTTTCCAAGGCAGATATGTGTCACTTTATTAAATGGAACGCACATCATTCCATTATCATATGAATGAAAATTTAGTGAATTCAAAAATCTTTATTTGAACATCTGTATTGTTATTTTTGTAGGATAGTTTCTTAAAACTGGAATTTAGGGGCTTAATTGCATTTCAAAAACATTGTACTTATTTGCTTCTCATTTACTGTTAGTCACGCATTTCTCAAGAATTTCATAAAAACTGGAGCTCAATTTTTATTGTACTTGTAATTCAACTATTAATCAGATTGACCAATTCTTCACTGTTTTTAATTATTTTCTTTTTCTCAGAATTGCTTTTTCTATTACTGTGAGTCTTTCTCATATGTCTATTAGGAGCTTTTATGTGTTGGCATTAACCCTTTTATTACTGTATATCTGGTCATTTACCCTTCATTTTTGTATGTGTTAAAATTATTTTGCTGAAATTTGTCATTTGTTGTGCAGTCATATGGTGCATTTTTCATCATTCATGAAGTTATCATGTTATGTAGCCAGACCCCTGGATCTTTCTTTAATGTCTCTGAGATTTTGTATTACGGTTAAAAACACCATCCTCACCCTGACATTATTTAACAAAATTATCTTATATTTTCTTCTAGTATTTTCATTGTTAGAAAATTTTATACTTAGATTTTAAACTACTTAAAAGTATGGGGAGATACACAGATATGCATACTGAATATTTTCTTCTAGATCAAGAGTCAATTAACCTCATTTCTTTTAATCAACTAAATCTGTTTTCCTAACATTTTAAAATGTCACTTGTTAAGATATTTATACTACTAATTTCTCTTAGTTCATTGAAAAGTTTGTACGTACAGTGTTTGATCAATGTTTCATTTCTATAGCTTGTAACCTGAGCAACTACTTTGAATATAACAATATGCAATGTATTAACCATTCTTACTCTTCCATTATCTTGTTTTGAAATTTTGTATCATTGCTTTTATTGTTTCTTTAAAAAATATATATATGTCACCTCTATTGAATCTTTAGATTCCCATAAACACTTAGGTTTCTTTCTGGAGTCACCAGTGCTTTCTAAAAATTTATTTCTCAATTCCTACCATCCTTTATTTACAGTAAGGCAGATACTTCCCCCCTCACAACTTTTTCCTCCTTTAAAATTCTAAATATTTCTTTACTATTTTTAAGAGCATATGTAATAATGTAGGATAATATGCATTTTTAAAGCATATGAAAACTAGATTTTCTAGAAGTTTACATGGTTCTTGGCTATATCTAAAGGGGATTATTTCTGAATTCCAGAATGGCAGCTATCTTAAACTTACAATCTTATTATGAATCATAGGTTCCACACTGGGCAGTGCCAAGTGTGGCCTATAATCATGCTGTCTTGAGTTGGCTCCAACACACAGGAAGGCCCTGTCCTCCCCACCACTGTGAAGCTATAGCCTCCTGGTTTGTATTTCAGTATCTCTTCCCTCTGCTTCTATTCTTGTGTATGATTCCACTCTTGGGGAGAGGTATCTGCTTCTTCGGAGTTATAACCTCCTTCCTAACCCCTATCCGCCTAAGTAGCTTTCATACGTGTGTGTGTGCATGTTTTTTACATGTATTAAGTGTACAAAGATTTGACTAACACACATTAACTGCACCCAGAAATTCCTAAGCAAAATATGGTACTTTACATCATTTATCATAATTATGCATGGATTTGAAGACCTTATTTTAGAATATAAATTGGTGCATGATTCTTCTTACATGTGTCATCTAACAATAGACAAATGGAGAGTAGATGATAGAATGCTGGTTACCAGGGGATGAGGAGAGCTGTTGTTCAATGGTGTACTTATTTTTAAAGATGAGTAAGTTCCAGAGAACCTCTGTAGAGTACCTATCTTTAAAAATAAGGTATTTGGCACTTAAAAAATTGTTAAGAGATATATCAGGGTAGAGTGTCTACTTGATTAGCTTTGAGATTTGTCCAAAGGACTGATGGTTATGGGTATGTCTTAGTAGATCATAGATGTGTGGCCTTAAGGTTTATATTTGGTTCCTCATCCTTGTTCTGATTCAAGGCCACCATGAACTAAGGAGCTTTGATCCATCACTTCCTTCCACTGCCTTGGAGCCTGCTGACCATGGACTGAGTCCCTGAAAGCATGAGCTAAATTAAGCCTCTCTTCCTTTAATTTGTGAGTATCAGGTATTGTGTTCCAGCGATGGAAAGTGACTAATACAAGAGGTTAAATCTTATATTAGGTGTTCTTATCACACACACAGAAAAAACTTTTTCAGGTGATGGATATGCTTATTTTTTTAATTTTGGTGATGCTAATATGAGTATATACATATGTTTAAAGCCAGAAAATTGAGCATGTTAATATTATTTAATTTTTTATGTACCAATTATACCTCAATAAAGCTACAAATATGGAGATAATAACTAAGTGGATTTGCTTTTAAAATGTAGTTGTTGGGATAAAAATGGAGAATATAAACATGCTAGAAGAAATCAATGAAGGATTTCTGGTTTTGTCTATTCTTTTCTCTACAGATACTGTCTAAACATACCAAAGGTATTTATCCTTTTCTCTTCTCTCAGCCAAAAAGGAGATCAGTTTAAATGCCTACAGTAGGTACCCAGTAAATGAAAAACTCCACTGAAGGAAATGACATCTAATGAGGCACATTTCTCTTCCTTTAAAAGTTCTTCAATGAAAAAAAGCACCATAAAGAATAAAACGCTTTTAAAACAACAAATTTCAGACATTAGTTCCTGATGTGCCTTATATGACTGTGAAATGCAAAAGTCTCATGCATGATCTACTTAAGAGCCAACACTGCAAGACACTAACACTTCTGGATCATCAAGAAATGAGAATCACAAGACAGATCTCACCAGGAGGTGAGACAGATGAAAGTGAGCCCATCACTGTGAACCACAGAAGCACTGAAACAGCCAGATGTCCATCAAACAGAAGTGACGTGATGATTTGTAAATAAAAGAAAGTGTAATATTAGCCAAGATGTAAGAGTACTATGTAGCACTAAAAAATAATGCTATGGCAACATGACAATTTTGTCCAAGGAACTGAAAAAAGGAGAAGACTAACCTGGGTATAGTGCTTTAGAGTTCACAAGGTGCTATATCGTATTTTATCTGCGCAACAGAATTATCATTTTGATTTTTAATTAATAAGCTAAGGTTTTACAAGGTTAAGTATGTGAACCAAAACCTGAATGTTATTCATTCATATCTACTGAGCCAGATAAGGGTAAGTAAAGCTGTTTGTTTGTTAGTAATATTATTTTTATTTTACGGTTTTGACATAGAAGTGTAAGACTGTGCCTACAGCTCTTGGATTTAGAAGAGCTTACATTTACTCTTTAAGCAACATGTTTTTGAAGGATAATGAACAGATGCTTCCTGGCCTACAGTGAAAGTGTGACCAAGGTCTGATGAAGTACAGTGCAGTTCCCAAGACACAGAAAGGAAAGTGGCCAGGCAGAGGAGGTCCTGGGTCTAGCTCATTCTCACATATGACGGTGATACTCTGAGAACTCCCCTTTATCACCAGACTTTGCCCAGTGACGCTATAGAAATCAGTTCCTTTGGGCTGGGGATTTAGCCTAGTGACATAAGCACCTGCCTGGCAAGTGCGAGGTCATGAGTTTGATCCCCGGTACTAAAAAAAAAAAAAAAAAAAAAAAAAAAAAAAATCAGTTCCTTCAAACTCCTCAGGTAAAAATTCTCTGCTTAAAACTAGCACTGTGCAGAAGTCTACAATATGTCAGTGCAGAGTAGGTGCTTAAATGTTAAATGAGGCACTATCTGTATCTGCCCCCACCTCCCTGGCTAACTGTATTAACTTGACTCATGTCCCATTAGCCTGGGAATATATTTGCGACCTGCAGCTGTCCAGCCTTTGGAATTAAAGTGCTTCACCTTGAGGGAGCCAATAAAAGTGGGCATATCACATGCTAAAGATAAAGTGGCTAAGAACGGTGACCATGATGACACATCACAGGCTTGGCTTACTCACACGGCAGATGCACTCACTATAGGGTAAAGGAAAGTTCGTCAGGCTCCAGGAATGGTACAAAGGATGTTTCTGGAAGGTCAGTGGGAGTTAGGGCATAGCATGACTTCTATCCAAAAATAGTTGAATGCTAGGTCAGTCTTCATGATAACTTTCTTTTTATCTTATTTCACAACATACATCCAAGAGTGACATAAAATATACCCTATACCCCCAAAACTCTATCTCTTTTGGATGCAATTTCAAGTCTCCTTTGTATTATAAAAAAGGAGTGTTATTCTTCCTACACCACGAATCGGGAAACTAACAGTCTGCACAATGTGTCTTAGGAAGGAAGCCAGAGGCCAGCTGATGAATATTTGGCTTTTCCCACATGGAAACCAAAAAGAAAAGGTGCCAGACATTTTCTCTGAACTATGAGTCCTGAAATAAAATTCCAGCATTTCAACAAATAATGAAACATTCACACACAAAACATACACACACACACACACTCACACACATACAACATTGTTGAAATTCTAAATACAGTAGGAACTTAAGTGGGGAGAACTGTTTTCCTAGCCCTTTTTCTGTATCAGGCTCCCTTGGCATGAAAACATTAGGGAAGTGGCTTTTGTGCATCTTTGCATTGTCCCCACCTTTCTTAACAACCTTTCTCTATGTGAGATTTACAACAGAAAGCTCAGTTCACAATCATCTTTCTACATGTCTAGACTCCTAAAGTTTAGAGAGTACCTAACATACTAGGTTCCGGTGGGTGTAGCTGTGCCAGTCTGACTTGAGACTGAGCTGCTTCAAGCTGGCTCTGTTGGTCCCCTCTCCTTTCAAAGGACACAGTCTGGTGAGGGCAGCTGGGGCTAATCCCTTGGTCAAGTGCCAGGAAAAGCCAATTTCTTCACCATTTACGTAGAGCTTGCCAGGTGCCAGGCAATGTCCTGAATGCTTTGCTAATATTAACTCAGTCCTTGAATTTCTGAGGTAAGTGCTATTCATATCCTGCTTCCCAGACCTGGGAATCTTTGGCTGCAGAGCTGGAGCTGCAATTGCCCTATCTGCAGCCTCTTGTCCACCCAGATAAATGACAATGAGGGACATGCATAGCTCTCTATAGCCCTGTTTTGGAGTATGAAGGGGGGGTACTGTCCCTGGGGTGACCTCCTTATGGGCTCTACAAATTTGACCATTGCCGCCTTACACAGTGACCTAGAGCAAAAACTGGCTATTTGAACAAACCACATATGAGTCCTTAAAATATCCTAAGGCTCTATCTAGTCTGTTTTTAGTATTTTGTGTGTCTCTTTGCAAGGGTAAGTCTCCTGCATGTTTGTTAAGGATGGGAGATGGTCAAGAAAGTGACTGAGACTTAAATAATATCTTCGAATGAAATGCTCTAGGAGCATTAATTAAATCACCAAGTGAGTGCAGCCCTAACAGGCAGATTTAACATGGAACTTCTGCTACCTTATTAAGTCAAACAAGTTAGAAGCCATATGGCTCCTGAAAACTGGAACATATTTGTTTACAAACATACGTAGTAAGTGACAAGATATATAGAAAATAAATATGACACTCTCTGAAATTGTAAGACTTGCTCTTCTCTACTAAGTTAGAAAATGAAATAGGTAAAGGGGGATCAATCTAAGATGAATAACAATCTTCCTTTAAAGAGCCCAGAAAGAAAGTTCCATAAATAAAATGCAGTTGGCCATGCAATTACTTGTTTTTTTAAATTTTCTTTTGCTTAACGGGTTCATTATCCTACATTAGTAATGTTCTATCACACCTTAAAGAATGGCTTCTCATTTCTCATCAAGCTTTCCTTCCACACGTCCTGAGTGAAAGCACTGCATAGAAGAAGCTCAAAGGACAAGCGGCACTAAGCCCCAGTCACTCAGGAAGGGAATTTATGCAGAGTTAGGACAGATCAAAGGCTATAATATCTTGCTATTCACGTACCCTTTCATCCCTGAAACTGAAGCTCTCCCAGATCTCACTCTTAATGGGTAGGTAGGTGGCGTGTATTACTTTTTTCTCCAATGTATGGTGGATAAATTTCATGGCAGTAGGTGTACTCTGAATAAATAATTACTGTTTTCACCACTGTTTCTCCGGAATGCACAGAGACGATATGTAATGCCACGTAATAAGTTACTGACAGAGTCAATAGCAGACCCGAGGTTTCCTGTGTCCCAGTTAAGACTGGGTGCTTATCTCAGCCTTTATCACTCTTAAAGGCTTAGTTCTCTCAACCTTCATTCTATCTTTAAGATCAGACATGATGGCAGTTCTCTGCCCACAGATTCAACAAATAAAATAGTAAAAACAGCATTAATATATTGTGATGCATATGATTCTGTATTTCTCTATGTAGCCAAACAATGCCAAAGTCTGATTATCTAACTTATGTACCATACCTCTCCTTTGGCTTGAAACTTTATTTCACTCCTTACATGAGCTTCTCGTTTCTAGAGAGCCCTAATCCCCCTCTGAGCCTGGGTAGGAAACCACCTTTCAGGCTCGTTGTATCTCTCTCTAAATGGCCTTTGTCCCTAAGCAGTGAGCCACAGACTCAGCGCCCCACCGCCCACTCCCACGCTCCTGGATGAAACTCTTCTTTGTGTGGGTGACAGACCTGGACACGGGAAGCCGGTCAGGGAGCAAGCATGAAGAACTCGTTCTTCCAATGTCCCCCTGAGCTCATTCTCCTGGGGTCCTGGGAGCATCTCCAACTCACCAAGTCTAGGACTAATCTCAACACTCGGTCACACTGCTTTTTCCTTCTGTTTCTAAAAATGGTGTCATTGCCAGTAACACTCAAGCCTATCAATCATCTTTTCCTCTGCATCTCTGTGCTAAGTTAACTAAGTATATTGATTTTCAAGTGCTAACTTTCAGGTTTCTCTTCCTGTTTATTTTCTTGATATAAACCCTAGTTCAGGCCAATAAGCCTTTGACCTAAATCACAGAAACAGTTACATGAGCAAACATGCACTCTTGCTTGTTTCTTTCAAAAGATCTGTGCTAAGTCATAGTGAATATCTGAATTTATTTCATCTCTGGGTCTCTGTTCCTGGTCTTGCCTTTAATATTAGGTGCAATCTAAAAATACTCTGGTTATTTAAGTACAAAAATCATTACAGGAAAAGACAAATTGCCATTAATCCCTCTTAAAAGTATTCCTTTCATTTCCAACAATTATCTCATTGTTCTTGCCACTTTCTGACGATGTTCTGAAAGTCCTCCTTTGTGTTTTAGTTACATGTTGTAACTTGCAACCTTGATGTCCCAAATTGATTCAAAACATTTACTTCTCAGCCTTTTTGACTTTGGAGAAGAGCCAGAAGTCAGTCACACTGCCAGATCTGCTGAATAAGGTAAGTAAAGACACTCTGGAACAGTTTTCTGAGTCTGTCTTTCTGTGAGTGGCGTTTGACAGCATATTCACTGTATTTTTTGATCACACTTCATAAAGATACTCACAAAAGAGGGCTGCCAGAACTGCTTCCGAAAGTGGCGATCGTGATGGGATAAATGTATTCAGAGTATATGTGTTGGGTATATTTGATTGGAATTAAAGGCAAAGTATCTTTCTCTGTAATAAATTTTAAAAATTTTAATATTCACTGTATGTTTTGATCACTTGATACTTGTAATCCCAGAGTATGATATATACACTGTGTTATTCTGACTGTCACACGGCTCATCACTGCCAACACAAGAAAGAAAAAACTTCTTTCCATTCATGTCCGACCCCATCATGAAGTCTCTACCTATAAGTTGTGCCTGGAACTCAGGCTGTAAGGTGAGAAGGGGTAAGGGCTTGTATCCAGCCCTTAAGGAAGGGCCCTATGCATACAGGAATGGAGCTTTTCTTCCAGTACTGGCAGAGACTGCTGATTCTTGATCATGCTGCAGGTGATATAGGTGGCTTGCTTCTCAGAGATGGATAGGACAAGGGATCATCATGCAATTATTACACATCTGTCTTGGTTACTTTTCCCTCATTTCTAAGACAAAATACCCAAAACCCAAAATGAAGGAAGGAAAGGTTTATTTAGCTCACTGTTTGTGGAGGTTTTGGTCTATAGTCAGCTGGCTTCAAGGAAGGAAGCATGGCACGGGGTGGGGAGGGGGGTGGAGGGGATGGGTAGTACTTCAAGGCAGCAGCCAATAAAAGCAGCCAGAGCAAAAAGGGGGAAGAATGAGCCTTTTTCTCCCTTATTTTGT